TGGTGGTTTGGTGGAGGTTTGGAGGTGGTTTGTTGGAGGTTTGGTGCTGGTTTGGTGGAGGTTTGGTGCTGGAGTGCAGGAGGTGTTCAGGAGGGGTTCTGGAGGTGGCGGCTGAGGCCTGACCTTGCAGAGGAGGCAGTTGAGGGCCTGGCACACCGGGCACCGGAACTCGTTGACCGAGTCCTCGTAGATGCACCAGCCGCGGCAGTCGGGCGTGCGGCAGTGGAAGCTGTTGTGGCTGCGGCGCTCGGCCAGCACCAGGCTCCGCTCCAGGAAGCGCCGGTACTCCTCGGGGGACACCAGCTGCGGGTGCGGAGGGGACGGGGGTGACGTGGGCGCGGGGAGGCCGCGCCGGTGCCGGTGCCGGGGGCCCGTGCCGCACTCACCGCGCGGATCTCGCGCTCCTGCAGGTGGCTGCTGCAGGCGTAGGAGTCGTCGCGGTAGGGACAGGCCACGGTGGGCTCCTCGCTGAACGTGATCACCTGGCGCAGGCACTCCCTGCCCGGCCCCCGCGGGGCGCCAGGGCTGCGGGTCAGGGCCGGCACCAGCACGGCCGAGCCCAGGGACGGCGCCCACGGGGGTTGGAGGGGGTTTGGGGGCGGTCACCGCAATGGGGTGCTACTAACGGGGGGGGGGCACCGTGATGGGGGGGGATAGGGGTGGTCACCGCAATGGGGGGTCAGGAACGGTCACTGCAATGGGGGGGGTTAGGGCTGGTCACTGCAATGGGGGGGGTCAGGAATGGTCACTGCAATGGGGGGGTCAGGAACGGTCACTGCAATGGGGGGGGGTTAGGGCTGGTCACTGCAATGGGGGGGGTTAGGGCTGGTCAATGCAATGGGGGGGTCAGGAATGGTCACTGCAATGGGGGGGGTTAGGGCTGGTCACTGCAATGGGGGGGGTTAGGGCTGGTCACTGCAATGGGGGGGGGTTAGGGCTGGTCACTGCAATGGGGGGGGTTAGGGCTGGTCACTGCAATGGGGGGGGTTAGGGCTGGTCACTGCAATGGGGGGGGGTTAGGGCTGGTCACTGCAATGGGGGGGGTTAGGGCTGGTCACTGCAATGGTGGGGTTCAGGAACGGTCACTGCAATGGGGGGGTCAGGAACGGTCACTGCAATGGGGGGGATTAGGGCTGGTCACTGCAATGGGGGGGTTCAGGAACAGTCACCCTGAGGATTGAGGGGCTTGGGGTTGGGTCCCTGGGTGCTCTGGGGGGGGTCCCTGGGTGCTCTGGGGGCGATGCCTGGGTGCTCTGGATGGGGTCCCTGGGTGCTCTGGGTGGGGGGGGGGAGTCCCTGGGTGCTCTGGGGGGGGTCCCTGGGTGCTCTGGGTGGGGGGGTGGTCCCTGGGTGCTCTGGGTGGGAGGGGGGTCCCTGGGTGCTCTGGGTGGGAGGGGGGTCCCTGGGTGCTCTGGGTGGGGGGGGGGGGTCCCTGGGTGCTCTGGGTGGGAGAGGGGGTCCCTGGGTGCTCTGGGGGGGGGGTCCCTGGGTGCTCTGGGTTGGGGGGGGGAGTCCCTGGGTGCTCTGGGTGGGAGGGGGGGTCCCTGGGTGCTCTGGGGGGGGTCCCTGGGTGCTCTGGGTGGGGGGGGGGAGTCCCTGGGTGCTCTGGGTGGGAGGGGGGGTCCCTGGGTGCTCTGGGGGGGGTCCCTGGGTGCTCTGGGTGGGAGAGGGGGGTCCCTGGGTGCTCTGGGGGGGGTCCCTGGGTGCTCTGGGTGGGGGGGGGAGTCCCTGGGTGCTCTGGGTGGGAGGGGGGGTCCCTGGGTGCTCTGGGTGGGGGGGGGGGGTCCCTGGGTGCTCTGGGTGGGAGGGGGGGTCCCTGGGTGCTCTGGGGGGGGTCCCGGTGCCGCGGTGTCACCTGCAGAAGCTGTGCAGACACTCCCGCAGCAGCACCCCTGCGCCCGGGGGCACCCTCTGGAAGCAGATGAGGCATTCCAGGGCCTCCCGGTTGGGCACCAGCACCTCCTGCTCCAGCTGCAGCAGCTGCTCCAGGTTCTGCAGCCGCTCGGCCTCCAGCGCCTGCGGGACAGCCCCGGTCAGAGCCACGGCCCCACGCAGGGCTCGGTCCCACCACAAGGGGCTGGGGCTGGAACCCGTCACGGGGAGCCCCGAGCCCGGCCCAGCGCCTTCCTTCTGCCCCATGGAACGGGTTGGGAGGAAGGGAGCTTAAAGCTGCTCCAGCTCCAAGCCCATCCCCTTCCCCTGGAGCAGGGTGCTCCGAGCCCCTGTGTCCAAGCTGCCCTTGGGCACTGCCAGGGATGGAGCATCCCAAACCTCTCCCTTCAACCCCTGCCATGGGGAAGAACTCCCCAAGCTCCCATCAACTCTTCCCTCTTCCTCCTCCTCCCATCCCTCATCCCAACCCCTCTCCATGCTCCCTGCAGCCCCTTCAGGCTCTGGGGCTGCTCTCAGCTCCCCCCTTCCCGCAGCAGAGGGGCAGGGTCCCCCCCTGCGCTGCTGCTCCCACTCACGGGGGGTTCTCCCCCCCCAGCCCCCCAAGTCCTGCTCCTCAGGCTCCAGCCCCTCTCCCCCAGCCTGGCTCAGTGCTGGGCTTGCCCCACGCCGGGGCCAGGGCCTTGCCCTTGGTGCCCCTCCTGTCCTCCCCCTGCTCCATCCCATCCCATGGAGCCCCCGGCACACGGAGACGGAGCCGTGCTGGGGGAAGAGGCTTTAATGAGGGAAGGACCTGAGGGGCACCAGCCCCAGAGCCCTCCCGGGCCAAGCTCCCCAGCGCCAGCCCCACACGGGGCTCAGGGCAGGCGATGCTGCAGCAGTGGTGGCCGCGCTCATCCGCACCCGTCCCCATCCCCGAGAGCCCTGAGCCCCATTCAGAGCCCTGAGCCCCATCCCCATCCCTGAGGGCCCTGAGCCCCATCCCCATCCCTGTCCCTCAGGGCTCCTGGAGCACCAATGCAGAGCACTGGGGCTGCCGGTGCAGGGAGACAACGGGAATGGGGTGGGACAACGGGAATGGGGTGGGACAACGGGAATGGGGTGGGACGGGCACTGAGGGCTCCCATCAGCCGACTGGGGAGAGCCAGGATGGGTCCAAACCCTCACGATGCTCCAGGAGCCCCCATTCCCTGTCCTCCAGGGGGAAGGTCCCGCATCCATGTAGGGCCTGAGCAAGGGGGAGCCCATCAGCAGGGATGGGGATGGGGACGGGGACGGGGACGGGGACGGGGACGGGGACGGGGACACCACGTCCCAGGCTGGGTGCTCAGCAGAACTCAGAGGAGAGCAGGATGAGGTCCTCCCAGGACCCCGGGGCGCTGCGCGAGGCCGGAGCCTCCTCTCCAGCCTCAATCCTTCCCTTCCCAGCATGGGACCGAAACGAGGGGAGAGGAGGGGAGAGGAGAGGAGAGGAGGGGAGAGGAGGGGAGAGGAGGGGAGAGGAGGGGAGAGGAGGGGAGAGGAGGGGAAGGGAGAGGAGGGGAGAGGAGAGGAGAGGAGGGGAGAGGAGAGGAGAGGAGGGGAGGGGAAGGGAGAGGAGGGGAGAGGAGAGGAGAGGAGAGGAGAAGAGGGGAGGGGAGGGGAAGGGAGAGGAGGGGAGAGGAGGGGAGGGGAGAGGAGAGGAGGGGAGAGGAGAGGAGGGGAGAGGAGGGGAGGGGAGAGGAGAGGAGGGGAGAGGAGAGGAGGGGAGAGGAGAGGAGGGGAGGGGAGAGGAGAGGAGAGGAGGGGAGAGGAGAGGAGGGGAGAGGAGGGGAGAGGAGAGGAGGGGAGAGGAGAGGAGGGGAGAGGAGAGGAGGGAGGGGAGAGGAGAGGAGGGGAGAGGAGGGGAGAGGAGGGGAGAGGAGGGGAGAGGAGAGGAGGGGAGGGGAGAGGAGAGGAGGGGAGAGGAGAGGAGGGGAGAGGAGGGGAGGGGAGAGGAGAGGAGAGGAGAGGAGGGGAGAGGAGAGGAGGGGAGAGGAGGGGAGGGGAGAGGAGAGGAGGGGAGAGGAGAGGAGGGGAGAGGAGGGGAGAGGAGAGGAGGGGAGGGGAGAGGAGAGGAGAGGAGGGGAGAGGAGAGGAGGGGAGAGGAGAGGAGGGGAGAGGAGAGGAGAGGAGGGGAGAGGAGAGGAGGGGAGAGGAGAGGAGAGGAGGGGAGAGGAGAGGAGGGGAGAGGAGAGGAGAGGAGGGGAGAGGAGAGGAGGGGAGAGGAGAGGAGGGGAGAGGAGAGGAGGGGAGAGGAGAGGAGGGGAGAGGAGAGGAGGGGAGAGGAGAGGAGAGGAGAGGAGGGGAGAGGAGAGGAGGGGAGAGGAGAGGAGAGGAGGGGAGAGGAGAGGAGGGGAGGGGAGAGGAGGGGAGAGGAGAGGAGAGGAGGGGAGAGGAGGGGAGAGGAGGGGAGGGGAGAGGAGAGGAGAGGAGAGGAGAGGAGGGGAGAGGAGAGGAGGGGAGAGGAGAGGAGGGGAGGGAGAGGGTGGGAGAGGAGAGGAGGGGAGGGGAGAGGAGGGGAGAGGAGAGGAGGGGAGAGGAGAGGAGAGGAGGGGAGAGGAGGGGAGAGGAGGGGAGAGGAGGGGAGAGGAGGGGAGAGGAGGGGAAGGGAGAGGAGGGGAGAGGAGAGGAGAGGAGGGGAGAGGAGAGGAGAGGAGGGGAGGGGAAGGGAGAGGAGGGGAGAGGAGAGGAGAGGAGAGGAGAAGAGGGGAGGGGAGGGGAAGGGAGAGGAGGGGAGAGGAGGGGAGGGGAGAGGAGAGGAGGGAGAGGAGAGGAGGGGAGAGGAGGGGAGGGGAGAGGAGAGGAGGGGAGAGGAGAGGAGGGGAGAGGAGAGGAGAGGAGGGGAGGGGAGAGGAGAGGAGAGGAGGGGAGAGGAGAGGAGGGGAGAGGAGAGGAGGGGAGAGGAGAGGAGGGGAGGGGAGAGGAGAGGAGGGGAGAGGAGGGGAGAGGAGAGGAGAGGAGGGGAGAGGAGGGGAGAGGAGAGGAGGGGAGGGGAGAGGAGAGGAGGGGGAGGAGAGGAGGGGAGAGGAGGGGAGGGGAGAGGAGAGGAGAGGAGAGGAGGGGAGAGGAGAGGAGGGGAGAGGAGGGGAGGGGAGAGGAGAGGAGGGGAGAGGAGAGGAGGGGAGAGGAGGGGAGAGGAGAGGAGGGGAGGGGAGAGGAGAGGAGAGGAGGGGAGAGGAGAGGGAGGGGAGAGGAGAGGAGAGGAGGGGAGAGGAGAGGAGGGGAGAGGAGAGGAGAGGAGGGGAGAGGAGAGGAGGGGAGAGGAGAGGAGAGGAGGGGAGAGGAGAGGAGGGGAGAGGAGAGGAGGGGAGAGGAGAGGAGGGGAGAGGAGAGGAGGGGAGAGGAGAGGAGGGGAGAGGAGAGGAGGGGAGAGGAGAGGAGGGGAGAGGAGAGGAGAGGAGGGGAGAGGAGAGGAGGGGAGGGGAGAGGAGGGAGAGGAGAGGAGGGGAGAGGAGGGGAGAGGAGGGGAGGGGAGAGGAGAGGAGAGGAGAGGAGGGGAGAGGAGAGGAGGGGAGAGGAGAGGAGGGGAGAGGAGAGGAGGGGAGAGGAGAGGAGGGGAGGGGAGAGGAGGGGAGAGGAGAGGAGGGGAGAGGAGGGGAGAGGAGGGGAGAGGAGAGGAGGGGAGAGGAGAGGAGGGGAGAGGGAGGAGGGAGAGGAGGGGAGAGGAGAGGAGGGGAGAGGAGAGGAGGGGAGAGGAGGGGAGAGGAGAGGAGGGGAGAGGAGGGGAGAGGAGAGGAGGGGAGAGGAGAGGAGGGGAGAGGAGAGGAGGGAGAGGAGAGGAGGGGAGAGGAGAGGAGAGGAGGGGAGAGGAGAGGAGGGGAGAGGAGAGGAGAGGAGGGGAGAGGAGGGGAGGGGAGAGGAGGGGAGAGGAGGGGAGAGGAGAGGAGGGGAGAGGAGGGGAGAGGAGAGGAGAGGAGGGGAGAGGAGGGGAGGGGAGAGGAGGGAGGGGAGAGGAGAGGAGAGGAGGGGAGAGGAGAGGAGAGGAGGGGAGAGGAGAGGAGGGGAGAGGAGAGGAGAGGAGGGGAGAGGAGAGGAGAGGAGGGGAGAGGAGAGGAGGGGAGAGGAGAGGAGAGGAGGGGAGGGAGAGGAGAGGAGAGGAGAGGAGAGGAGGGGAGAGGAGAGGAGAGGGGAGGAGAGGAGGGGAGGGAGAGGAGGGGAGAGGAGGGGAGGGGAGAGGAGAGGAGGGGAGAGGAGGGAGGGAGAGGAGGGGGGAGAGGAGGGGAGGGGAGAGGAGAGGAGGGGGAGAGGAGAGGAGGGGAGAGGAGGGGAGAGGAGGGGAGAGGAGGGGAGGGGAGAGGAGGGGAGAGGAGGGAGAGGAGGGGAGGGGAGAGGAGAGGAGGGGAGGGGAGAGGAGAGGAGAGGGGAGAAGAGGAGAGGAGAGGAGGGAGAGGAGAGGAGAGGAGAGGAGGGGAGGGGAGAGGAGAGGAGGGGAGGGGAGAGGAGGGGAGAGGAGAGGAGAGGAGGGGAGAGGAGAGGAGGGGAGAGGAGAGGAGGGGAGAGGAGGGGAGGGGAGAGGAGAGGAGAGGAGGGGAGAGGAGAGGAGGGGAGAGGAGAGGAGGGGAGAGGAGAGGAGAGGAGGGGAGGGGAGAGGAGAGGAGGGGAGGGGAGAGGAGAGGAGGGGAGAGGAGAGGAGGGGAGGGGAGAGGAGAGGGAGGGAGAGGAGAGGAGGGGAGGGAGAGGAGAGGAGGGGAGAGGAGGGGAGAGGAGGGGAGAGGAGGGGAGGGGAGAGGAGAGGAGGGGAGAGGAGAGGAGGGGAGAGGAGAGGAGGGGAGGGGAGAGGAGAGGAGGGGAGAGGAGAGGAGGGGAGAGGAGAGGAGAGGAGGGAGAGGAGGGGAGAGGAGGGGAGAGGAGGGGAGGGGAGAGGAGAGGAGGGGAGAGGAGGGGAGGGGAGAGGAGAGGAGGGGAGAGGGAGAGGAGGGGGGAGGAGGGGAGAGGAGGGGAGGGGAGAGGAGGGGAGGGGAGGGGAGGGGAGAGGGAGAGGAGGGGAGAGGAGAGGAGGGGAGGGGAGAGGAGAGGAGGGGAGGGGAGAGGAGAGGAGGGGAGAGGAGAGGAGGGGAGGGGAGAGGAGAGGAGGGGAGGGGAGAGGAGAGGAGGGGAGGGGAGAGGAGAGGAGGGAGAGGAGAGGAGGGGAGGGGAGAGGAGGGGAGGGGAGAGGAGAGGAGGGGAGAGGAGAGGAGGGGAGAGGAGGGAGGAGGGAGAGGAGGGGAGAGGAGAGGAGGGAGAGGAGGGGAGAGGAGAGGAGGGGAGAGGAGAGGAGGGGAGGGGAGAGGAGAGGAGAGGAGAGGAGGGGAGGGGAGGGGAGAGGAGGGGAGGGGAGAGGAGAGGAGGGGAGAGGAGAGGAGGGGAGAGGAGGGGAGAGGAGGGGAGGGGAGAGGAGAGGAGAGCAGGGGAGAGGAGAGGAGGGGAGAGGAGAGGAGGGGAGAGGAGGGGGAGAGGAGGGGAGGGGAGAGGAGAGGAGAGGAGAGGAGGGGAGAGGAGAGGAGAGGAGAGGAGAGGAGAGGAGAGGAGAGGAGAGGAGAGGAGGGGAGAGGAGAGGAGAGGAGGGGAGGGGAGAGGAGAGGAGAGGAGGGGAGAGGAGAGGAGAGGAGGGGAGAGGAGGGGAGGGGAGAGGAGAGGAGGGGAGGGAGAGGAGAGGAGAGGAGGGAGGGGAGAGGAGAGGAGGGGAGAGGAGAGGAGGGGAGGGGAGAGGAGAGGAGGGGAGAGGAGAGGAGGGGAGAGGAGAGGAGAGGAGGGGAGAGGAGAGGAGGGGAGAGGAGAGGAGGGGAGGGGAGAGGAGAGGAGGGGAGAGGAGAGGAGGGGAGAGGAGAGGAGAGGCGAGGTTTTGGTCAGTGGGGAGCCCCACGGCACGGACTGCAAGGGGGAACGGGGGCTCCCTAGGGAGCGGGGAACCAGCCCGGGCCGGGCTCGGAGCGCCCTGCTCCAGCAGCACGGGATGGAGCCGGAGGAGCTTTAAGGTCCCCGCATCCCAACCCATTCCCTGCCTCCATGGCTCCAATGGGACCGGGGAAGGAGCCGGGCTCTGCCCCGGCCCCACTCGTCCCCACGGGGCCTCCTGAAGCCCAGGCCCTGCCCCTGGCCCGGCGGCTCCATAGGGAGCGTGCTGGCCCCATAGGGAGCACGGTGGCTCCATAGGGAGCATGGCGGCTCCTTAGGGGGTGTGTTGGCCCCATAGGCACCCTGCTGGTCCCATACGGAGCACAGTGGCTCCATAGGAACCGTGTTGGTTCCACAGGGAGCACATTAGCCCCATAGGGAGCACGCTGGCCCCGTAGTGAGCGTGTTGGCCCCATAGAGCCTGTGCTGGCCCCATAGGGAGCACGCTGACCCCACAGGGAGCACGCTGGCCCATAGGGAGCACATTGGCCCCATAGAGCCTGTGCTGGCCCCATAGGGAGCACATTGGCCCCATAGAGCCTGTGCTGGCCCCACAGGGAGCACATTGGCCCCATAGAGCCTGTGCTGGCTCCATAGAGTCTGTGCTGGCCCCATAGGGAGCGCGTTGGCCCCATAGAGCCTGTGCTGGCCCCATAGGGAGCACATTGGCCCCATAGAGCCTGTGCTGGCCCCATAGAACCTGTGCTGGCCCCAGAAGGAGCACATTGGCCCCATAGAGCCTGTGCTGGCCCCATAGAGCCTGTGCTGGCCCCATAGGGAGCACGCTGTCCCCATAGGGAGCACGCTGCCCCATAGGGAGCACATTGGCCCCATAGAGCCTGTGCTGGCCCCAGAGGGAGCACATTGGCCCCATAGAGCCTGTGCTGGCCCCATAGGGAGCACGCTGGCCCCAGAGGGAGCACGCTGCCCCATAGGGAGCACGCTGCCCCACAGGGAGCACGCTGGCCCCAGAGGGCCCCCGGCGCCGCTCACCTGCTGGTACTGGCGCATGCCCTCGTGCTCGCGCTGGAGGCGGCGCCGCTCGCGCTCGTCGGGCCGGTGCGCGCGGGGGACCACGTAGTCGTCGGGCCGGGCCCCGCTGCACATCTCACAGCCGGGGCGAGTGGGCTTGTTGATGAAGGTGCACTGCGGGCACGGCCAGCCCGGCTGCGGGACACGGGCATGGAGGTGGGATGGGGATAGGGGCACGGATACAGGGATACAGGGACATGGGGCACGGATACAGGGACATGGGGCAGGGATACAGGGACATGGGGCAGGGATACAGGGATACAGGGACATGGGGCAGGGATACAGGGACATGGGGCACGGATACAGGGATACAGGGACATGGGGCAGGGATACAGGGCACGGCACAGGGAGATGGCACAGGGATACAGGGCATGGATACAGGGCACGGCCAGCCCGGCTGCGGGACACGGGCATGGAGGTGGGACGGGGATAGGGGCACGGATACAGGGATACAGGGACATGGGGCACGGATACAGGGACATGGGGCAGGGATACAGGGATACAGGGACATGGGGCAGGGATACAGGGACATGGGGCACGGATACAGGGATACAGGGACATGGGGCAGGGATACAGGGACATGGGGCACGGATACAGGGACATGGGGCAGGGATACAGGGATACAGGGACATGGGGCAGGGATACAGGGATACAGGGCAGGGATACAGGGATACAGGGACATGGGGCAGGGATACAGGGATACAGGGACATGGGGCAGGGATACAGGGACATGGGGCACGGATACAGGGACATGGGGCAGGGATACAGGGATACAGGGACATGGGGCACGGATACAGGGACATGGGGCAGGGATACAGGGATACAGGGACATGGGGCACGGATACAGGGACATGGGGCAGGGATACAGGGACATGGGGCATGGATACAGGGACATGGGGCAGGGATACAGGGATACAGGGACATGGGGCACGGATACAGGGACATGGGGCAGGGATACAGGGACATGGGGCATGGATACAGGGATACAGGGACATGGGGCACGGATACAGGGACATGGGGCAGGGATACAGGGATACAGGGACATGGGGCATGGATACAGGGATACAGGGACATGGGGCAGGGATACAGGGCACGGCCAGCCCGGCTGCGGGACACAGGGCACGGAGGTGGGATGGGGATAGGGGCACGGGGCACGGCACAGGGACACGGGACAGGGATACAGGGCACGGCACAGGGATACAAGGCATGGATACAGGGCATGGCACAGGGATACAGGGATACATGGATACAGGGACATGGGGCATGGATACAGGGATACAGGGCACGGCCAGCCCGGCTGCGGGACACGTGGCACCGAGGTGGGACGGGGATACGGACATGGGGCACGGCATAGGGACACGGGACAGGGATACAGGGCATGGCACAGGGACTTGGGACAGGGATATGGGGCATGGATACAGGGCATGGCCAGACCAGCTGCAGGACACGCGGCACGGAGGTGGGATGGGGATAGGGACACGGGGCACGGCTCAGGGATACGGGACAGGGATACAGGGCATGGCACAGGGACTTGGGACAGGATACAGGGCATGGATACAGGGCACGGCCAGCCCGGCTGCGGGACACGCGGCACCGAGGTGGGACGGGGATAGGGGCATGGGACAGGGATATGGGGCACGGCACAGGGATACAGTGACATGGGGCATGGATACAGGGCATGGCCAGCCCGGCTGCGGGACACGAGGCACGGAGGTGGGATGGGGATAGGGACACGGGACAGGGATACAGGGCATGGATACAGGGCACGGCACAGGGACACGGGACAGGGACATGGGGCATGGATACAGGGCACAGCACAGGGACGCGGGACAGGGATATGGGGCATGGATACAGGGCACGGCACAGGGATACAGGGCACGGCCAGCCCAGCTGCGGGACACGCGGCACGGAGGTGGGACAGGGATAGGGGCACGGCACAGGGATACAGGACAGGGATACAGGGCATGGCACAGGGAGATGGGACACAGCCAGCCCAGCTGCGGGCAACAGCGGCATGGAGGTGAGACAGGGATATGGGTACGGGGCATGGCACAGGGAGATGGGACAGGGATACAGAGCATGGCACAGGGAGATGGGACAGGGATACAGGGCATGGCACAGGGACATGGGACAGGGATACAGGGCATGGCACAGGGACATGGGACAGGGATACAGGGCATGGCACAGGGAGATGGGACAGGGATACAGGGCATAGCACAGGGAGATGGGACAGGGATACAGGGCATGGCACAGGGAGATGGGACAGGGATACAGGGCATGGCACAGGGACATGGGACAGGGATACAGGGCATGGCACAGGGAGATGGGACAGGGATACAGGGCATGGCACAGGGACATGGGACAGGGATACAGGGCATGGCACAGGGACATGGGACAGGGATACAGGGCATGGCACAGGGAGATGGGACAGGGATACAGGGCATAGCACAGGGAGATGGGACAGGGATACAGGGCATGGCACAGGGAGATGGGACAGGGATACAGGGCATGGCACAGGGAGATGGGACACGGATACAGGGCATGGCACAGGGACATGGGACAGGGATACAGGGCATGGCACAGGGAGATGGCACAGGGATACAGGGCATGGCACAGGGACTTGGGACAGGGATACAGGGCATGGCACAGGGAGATGGCACAGGGATACAGGGCATGGCACAGGGACATGGGACAGGGATACAGGGCACGGCACAGGGAGATGGCACAGGGATACAGGGCATGGCACAGGGACTTGGGACAGGGATACAGGGCATGGCACAGGGACATGGCACAGGGATACAGGGCATGGCACAGGGAGATGGGACAGGGATACAGGGCACGGCACAGGGAGATGGCACAGGGATACAGGGCATGGCACAGGGAGATGGCACAGGGATACAGGGCATGGCACAGGGAGATGGCACAGGGATACAGGGCATGGCACAGGGAGATGGCACAGGGATACAGGGCACGGCACAGGGAGATGGGACAGGGATACAGGGCATGGCACAGGGACTTGGGACAGGGATACAGGGCATGGCACAGGGAGATGGCACAGGGACTTGGGACAGGGATACAGGGCATAGCACAGGGACATGGGACATGGCCACCCTGACTGCAGGCGACAGCGGCAAAGGGCATGGATACAGGGCATGGGATATGGGACAGGGAGATGGGACATGGATACAGGGCATGGCACAGGGACATGGGACATGGCCACCCTGACTGCAGGTGACAGCGGCACGGGGCATGGATACAGGGCATGGATACGGGACATGGGACAGGGGGCATGGCCATCCCCCCTTCAGGGAACAGGGGACACAGAGATGGGACATGGATACAGGGCATGGATACGGGATATGGGATATGGGACATGGATACAAGGCATGGGACAGGGAGATGGGATATGGGACATGGATTCGGGGCATGGGACAGGGAGATGGGATATGGGGCATGGATACAGGGCATAGATACGGAACATGGGACAGGGGGCATGGCCATCCCCCCTTCAGGGAACAGGGGACACAGAGATGGGACATGGATACAGGGCATGGGACAGGGAGATGGGATATGGGACATGGATACGGGGCATGGATACGGGACATGGGATATGGGACATGGATACAAGGCATGGGACAGGGAGATGGGATATGGGACATGGATATGGGGCATGGGACAGGGAGATGGGATATAGGGCAAGGATACAGGGCATGGATATGGGACATGGGACAGGGAGATGGGATATGGGGCATGGATACAGGGCATGGGACAGGGAGATGGGATATGGGACATGGATATGGGGCATGCATGGGACAGGGAGATGGGACATGGGGCATGGATACGGGGCATGGGACAGGGAGATGGGGCATGGATACGGGGCATGGGACAGGGAGATGGGGCATGGCCAGCCCAACTTTGGGGACAGCAGGACAGGGACATGGCCAGGGGGCATGGGCAGCCCACCTACAGGGACAGGGGACACAGCCATGCAGGCACAGACAGCACGGCTGCAGGGAACAAAGGACATGGGGTACAGGACACAGCCATGCAGGCATGGCCAGGGGACATGGGGACATGGGATATGGGACACAGCCATGGCCGGGCACCTGCAGGGAACACAGGACATGGGGACATGGGATATGGGACACAGCCATGCAGGCACGGCCAGCACAGCTGCAGGGAACACAGGACATGGGGACATGGGATATGGGACACAGCCATGGCCGGGCACCTGCAGGGAACACAGGACATGGGGTATGGGATATGGGACACAGCCATGGCCGGGCACCTGCAGGGACAGTGACATGGGGTATGGGAGAGGGGGCACGGCCAGCCTGAGACACTGGGGGGAGAAAGGGGATGGGGCAGGGAGCAGCCATCACCCCAGCGCCCCCACACTGGGACGAGGGGGACGTGGGGCTCCAAGGGGCAGTGATGGGGGCACCCCATGGACCCCGTACCTGCTCTGGGGAGGGTGGGCTGGGGGAGGGAGGCTTTGCTTGGGCACCAAGGGTGTCAGCGAGCTGCAGCGAGTCCAGGTACTGGCTGATGTCCCCAATGTCCATCTTCCCACCGGCCTCATTGCCACAGCCTGGAGGGACCGTGGGGAAGGGGGGGGGGTTACAACCGGCACCGGGAGCGGGTGGGAAGGTGCTGCAGGTCCCACTGGGTGAGGAGCATCGGAGCTGGAGCAGGGCTTGGAGCACAGGGGTGATGGGGAAGGGCTGAGGGACCTGGGGGGGGGATCTGATGGCTCCCTCCAAGTGCCTGCCAGGAGGATGGAGCCAGGAGGGGCTGGGCTCTGCTCCCAAGGAACAAGGGATGGGACGAGAGGAACCGGCCTCAAGCTGCCCCAGGGCAGGGTCGGGGGGGATGTTGGGAAGGGTTTACCCACTTCGAGGGCGCTCAAGGGCTGGAGCCAGCCCTGGAGGTACCCAAAAGGCTCGGTGGAGGCAGGGGCCATGGGGCAGGATGGTCCTGAGGCCCTTCCCCAGCCCGGCTGACGCCGTCAGCCCCAGCTCCAGGACCCCACGGCCAGGGGATGCTGGGGGGGGCGCAGACCTTTCCCTGCGGCCGCGTTGGCTCCGGGCCCGGGGCTGCGGAGCCGGAGCTCTGCCAGGTCCTCCTCGAGGCGCTGCGGGCTGAGCTCGGCCGCGCGGGCCGACAGCAGGTAGAGGAAGGCCGGGTCCCCGTGCCGGCGGATGCCGTAGGAGAACACGGAGCGCTCGTCGCGGCACAGGCACTGCCCGATGATCCAGCGCTGCACCCGCGGGTGGAAGCCGTACTCCCGGAACACCTGCACCGGAGCCGCTCGGAGATGACCCCCCCCTTCCCCGTGCCATGGGGACCCCCCCTTCCCCGTGCCATGGGGATCCCCCCCTTCCCCGTGCCATGGGGACCCCCCCCTTCCCCGTGCCATGGGGACCCCCCCCTACCCGTGCCATGGGGACCCCCCCCTCCCCGTGCCATGGGCACCCCCCCCTTCCTCGTGCCATGGGGACCCCCCCTCCCCGTGCCATGGGGACCCCCCCTTCCCCGTGCCATGGGGACCCCCCCCTTCCCCGTGCCATGGGGACCCCCCCTTCCCCGTGCCATGGGGATCCCCCCCTTCCCCGTGCCATGGGGACCCCCCCCCTTCCCCGTGCCATGGGGACCCCCCCTTCCCCGTGCCATGGGGACCCTCCCCTTCCCCGTGCCATGGGGACCCCCCCTTCCCCGTGCCATGGGGACCCCCCCCCTACCCGTGCCATGGGGGGGGTCCCGGCCCCGCTCCGTACCTGCTCCTTCAGCGCCGCGATGCTCGTGTGCGCCCGCACCAGCAGCGTGATGCTGGCCGAGGAGGTGGCGTCCTCCACCCCGACCTTCATCCTGCGGGGGACGGGGACACGGGGATGAGGAGCGGGGAGCGGGGAGCTGCTGCTGCTGCTGCTGCTGCACAGGGGCCAGGAGTCCAGCTCCGCGCCCCAACCGTCATCCATCCCCTGCCAGGATGGGACAGGAACCCCCGCAGCTCCCGGCCCCATCCCAGACCTCACAGGGAATCTGCTTTGGGGGTCATTGGGGTCCGTGGAGCTGCTCTGCCCCAGGAAGGATCCATGGAGCTGCTCTGCTCCAGCAGGGATCCACGGAGCTGCTCTGCCCCAGGAAGGATCCACGGAGCTGCTCTGCTCCAGCAGGGATCCACGGAGCTGCTCTGCTCCAGCAGGGATCCACGGAGCTGCTCTGCTCCAGCAGGGATCCACGGAGCTGCTCTGCTCCAGCAGGGATCCACGGAGCTGCTCTGCTCCAGCAGGGATCCACGGAGCTGCTCTGCTCCAGCAGGGATCCATGGAGCTGCTCTGCTCCAGCAGGGATCCACGGAGCCCAGCTCCATCCCGGGATGTGGCTACAGGAGCTGTGCTCCAGGACACACGGGAGGGATCCATGGAGCCCAGCTCCATCCGGGGATGCTGAGGATGGGGAGCTGTGCTCCAGGACACACAGGAGGGATCCCTGCCCCATCCCGGGATGTGGCTACAGGAGCTGTGCTCCAGGGCACACGGGAGGGATCCATGGAGCCCAGCTCCATCCCGGGATGTGGCTACAGGAGCTGTGCTCCAGGACACACGGGAGGGATCCATGGAGCCCAGCTCCATCCCGGGATGTGGCTACAGGAGCTGTGCTCCAGGGCACACAGGAGGGATCCCTGCCCCATCCCGGGATGTGGCTACAGGAGCTGTGCTCCAGGGCACACAGGAGGGATCCATGGAGCCCAGCTCCATCCCGGGATGTGGCTACAGGAGCTGTGCTCCAGGACACACGGGAGGGATCCCTGCCCCATCCCGGGATGTGGCTACAGGAGCTGTGCTCCAGGGCACACAGGAGGGATCCATGGAGCCCAGCTCCATCCCGGGATGTGGCTACAGGAGCTGTGCTCCAGGGCACACGGGAGGGATCCGTGGAGCCCAGCTCCATCCCGGGATGTGGCTACAGGAGCTGTGCTCCAGGACACACGGGAGGGATCCCTGCCCCATCCCGGGATGTGGCTACAGGAGCTGTGCTCCAGGGCACACAGGAGGGATCCCAGCTCCATCCCGGGATGTGGCTACAGGAGCTGTGCTCCAGGGCACATGGGAGGGATCCCTGCCCCATCCCGGGATGTGGCTACAGGAGCTGTGCTCCAGGGCACACAGGAGGGATCCATGGAGCCCAGCTCCATCCCGGGATGTGGCTACAGGAGCTGTGCTCCAGGACACACGGGAGGGATCCCTGCCCCATCCCGGGATGTGGCTACAGGAGCTGTGCTCCAGGGCACACGGGAGGGATCCCTGCCCCATCCCGGGATGTGGCTACAGGAGCTGTGCTCCAGGACACACGGGAGGGATCCATGGAGCCCAGCTCCATCCCGGGATGTGGCTACAGGAGCTGTGCTCCAGGGCACACGGGAGGGATCCCTGCCCCATCCCGGGATGTGGCTACAGGAGCTGTGCTCCAGGGCACACGGGAGGGATCCCTGCCCCATCCCGGGATGTGGCTACAGGAGCTGTGCTCCTGCAGGCCCGGGCCCTGTCCCTCACCTGATGTGCTCCGGGGGGTAGGTGCTGTCCCGGAGCAGGATGCTGAGCAGGGCCTGGTGCCGGGCCAGCGCCGCGGCGCAGCGCGAGGCCTCCTCCTCGTCCCCAAACTCGATGGCCTGGGCGAGGTTCAGGGCCAGGTCCTCTGTGGGGGGGAGAGCAGGGAGAGCCATGGGGAGCCCCTGCAGAGCCAGCCCCAGGGACACAGCTCCGTGTGTGTGTGTGTGAGGAGCAGCCCCCAGGGCCCTGCTGATGGGAGAATGATCCTGGAGTCGTGGCATGGGTTGGGATGAAGGGAGCTTAAAGCTCCTCTGGCTGCAGCCCCTGGCCCAGGCAGGGACCCCTTCCCCTGGAGCAGGGTGCTCCGAGCCCCTGTGTCCAGCCTGCCCTTGAATCACACTTCAGAGGAGGCCTGGGGAGGACTTCGGGGAGGCCTCCAGAGGAGGCCATGGGGCTGCTGCGAGGGCTGGAGCAGCTCTGCCCTGGAGCCAGGCTGGGAGCAGAGAAGGGGAGAGCTGAGAGCAGCTCCAGGGCCTGAAGGGGCTGCAGGGAGCCTTGGGACAAGGGAGGCAGGGATGGGAGGAGGAGGAAGAGGGAAGAGTTGATGGGAGCTTGGGGAGTTCTTCCCCATGAGGGCGCTGGGTCCCTGGCAGGGGTTGAAGGGAGAAGCTGTGGCTGCCCCATCCCCGGCCGTGCTCAGGGGCTCAGCAGCAGAAGCTCTGTACAGAAACACCCCCCTGGGGGCACCAGGGCAGTGCTGGGGTCACCAACCCCGGAGGCCTCTAAAAGGCAGGCACAGGAGCCCCTTGGGGCCAGGGGTGGCCGTGGCCGGACTGGAAGTGCTGAAAGCTCCTTCCCAGCCTCAACGATTCCATGAAGCAGGCATGGGCTGAGCAGCAGCCCCAGCCCCAGCCCCAGCTCTGGGCTCTCTCCCGGGGAGCATCGGGACCCCCCCCCCCAGGAGCCCCCCAGGTACCTTTCTCCCGGAGCTCCGTGGTCAGAGCTTCCTCCGCTCCCTGATCCCCAGGGTTGGGGTTGGCCCCCGGGGGGGGAGGCAGAGCCTCGGCTGCCAACGCGCTCTCAAAGGCTGTGGAGAGGCAGGAACACGTCAGAGGGGGCAGCTCGGGGGCTGCCGGGTGCCAGGGGAGGGCAGGAGCTCCCCCCCCCCCCCCAAATCCTTCCTGCTCTTGGGTTCCCCCTCCAGGCAGCAGCGCACGGGGCTGGGGCATCGCCAGTGGGGCCAGTCCGGGAGGGACTCATGGGGCAACCGCTGCTCCCATGGGGCACGGGTGCAGCTGCAGGGATGCACCTGCAGGGGTGCTGCAGCTGCAGGGGTGCTGCCACTGGCGTGCTGCTGCAGGGGTGCTCCTGCAGGGGTGCAGCCGCAGGGCTGTTCCTGCATCCCAGGATGTGGGCGAAGGCAGCTCTGCTCCCATTGCCTGCCCCCACCTCCGGCCGTGCCCCAGCACCTCCTTGGATGCTCCAGCACCCACGGGAAGCCCGTGAGGGTCCCTCCATGGGAGCTCACAGCCCGGAGGCTTGGCTCGGCCCAGGACAGGGGGGCACCAGGGTGAGATCCGGCTCGGACCTTTCTGCACCTCCCGCAGGGAGCTGCTCACGATCGTCCACCACTTCTGCGCCTCCCGCTCCTCCTCGAAGCTGAGCACCAGGGGCTCGTCCCAGGCGCCCAGCACCAGCAGCTCGTGGCTCCTGGGGGCCAGCACCTTGTACGCGACGTCCTTGAGGTCGTAGTCGGCGATGGGCTGCGGGGCGAGAGGGACAGAGCCGGATCCTCCCTGCTTCAGGGGGGCTTGGGACAAGGGAGGCAGGGATGGGAGGAGGAGGAACGGCTCCAGCGGGAAGAGTTGATGGGATCTTGGGGAGATCTTCCCCATGAGGGTGCTGGGGCACTGAAGAGGTTGAAGGGAGAAGCTGTGGCTGCCCCATCCCTGGCAGTGCTCAAGGCCAGGTTGGACACAGGGGCTCGGAGCACCCTGCTCCAGGGGAAGGGGTCCCTGCCCAGGGCAGGGGTTGGAGCTGGAGGAGCTTTAAGGTTCCTTCCCACCCAACCCATCCCGTGACTGGATAACACGGAGCTGATGCTGCAGCCAGACCCTGCCCAAGGCCCCAAAGCCACCCCACAGCCCCCAGCTAGGGGCAGCTTCACCTCCCCCTTCCCCGCTCTCATCCCCAGCACGGGGCAGGAGAAGTCCTGAGCTCCTTAGAGCTGCCCCAAAGCCACCTTTGAGCCCCCAGGAGCCCTCCCTGAGCAAGCAGGGACAGGGCAGGGACGGGGGCAGGGCAGGGACAGGGACAGGGCAGGGACGGGGACAGGGCAGGGACGGGGGCAGGGCAGGGACGGGGGCAGGGCAGGGACGGGGGCAGGGCAGGGACGGGGGCAGGGCAGGGACAGGGACAGGGCAGGGACGGGCAGGGACGGGGCAGGGACAGGGGAGGGACGGGGCAGGGACAGGCAGGGACGGGGCAGGGACGGGGCAGGGACAGGGCAGGGACGGGGCAGGGACGGCAGGGACAGGGCAGGGACAAGGCAGGGACGGGCAGGGACGGGGCAGGGACAGGGGAGGGACGGGGCAGGGACAGGCAGGGACGGGGCAGGGACAGGCAGGGACGGGGCAGGGACGGGCAGGGACAGGGCAGGGACAGGGCAGGGACGGGCAGGGACGGGGCAGGGACGGGGAAGGGACAGGGCAGGGACGGGCAAGGGCAGCACAGGGGGGGCTGTGACATCCCCGGCCCCCCTCCAGCCGCGCTCTGTCCCCACCCGGAAGCCCCCAGCCCACCGCGGTCCGTCCGGGTTCAGGTTCCCCCGCCCCTCACCGCGCCTCCGTCGTGCCGGAGCTCGAGGCGGAAGCGGCGGCTGGCGGCGGGCGCGGGTCCCGCGCTGAGCTGCAGGCGGAGCGCGGCGGCGGCGGGCAGCGGCGGGAGGCGGGCGGGGCGCGCCAGGGAGGCCCGCACCGACATCAGCACCGTGAGCGGCGGCGGGGCCGAGGCCCCGGGCAGCGCCATGGCCGGGCCGCCGCCGAACGGGGCCCGCTCCCGGGAAACGCGGCCCCGCGAACGCGAGTTCCGGGAACAAACGTTCCGCCCCCCCCCCCCCCCCCCGGTGATTGACGGCTGCTCCCCCCCCCCCCGCGGCTTTGTTCCCAGCAGCCAATCAGAACGCGGAGCGCTCCGGTTGGTGGGCGGGGCCCCCGGGCTTTCCCGCGGAGGGCGGGCCCCAGCGCTGACTGACGGGTCCCGCAGCCAATAGGAGGGCAAGGGCTCGGGGATTGCCAGGGCCGCTGGCGAATGGGCCGCGTCCGTCCGCGGGCGCCGCTCGGACCGGACGGGCCGCGGGTGGGGCCTCGGTGGTTGTTGTCGTCCGGTGCCGGAGGAGAAGGTCGCCGCTCGCCGCTCGCACCGGAGGGACTCGCAGGTCTCGCTCAGCCGCTCGCACCGTCCCGAGCACTCGGGGGACATGTCGAGGTGGGCGCAGGCCCGGTGGTCCGGCGCCGGACGGCGGACGGCGGCCGAGGCACACGCGCCCTCCTCGAGCTTTCCCCGGAGACGCTTCACGTTACAAACGTCCCGAGCTTGAAGGAGCTGTCACGGCGAGGAGGCCCCGCCGGGACCGAGAGCGGGAAGCGCCGGTAGGTCCGCTCCCCGGAGCCGCTATGAGAACAGCGCCCCCACACGCCCCGCGGACTACAACTCCCATGGTGCACTGCGGCGGGCCCGGCGCGCAAGGGAGGGCGGCTCTGGTGCGCGGGGCATGCTGGGAGTTGTAGTCCGCGCGGGGCATGGTGGGAAGGCTGGGCCTGTCGCTGTCATGGCCGGGTCTGAGGCGGGGGCACCGCGGCGGGGTGGAACGGGGCCGGGGTGAACGGGGCCTGGCTCTGCGGCCCTGGATCACCGATCCCAGCCTCGTTCGTGCTGGGAGGGAGCTTAAAGCTGCTCCAACCCCTGCCAGGGCAGGGCCCCTTCCCCTGGAGCAGGGTGCTCCGAGCCCCTGTGTCCAACCCGGCCTTGAGCACTGCCAGGGATGGAGCATCCCAAACCTCTCCCTTTCAACCCCTGCCATGGGGAAGAACTCCCCAGGATCCCCTCAACTCTTCCCTCTTCCTCCTCCTCCCATCCCTGCCTCCCTTGTCCCAGCCCCTCTCCAGGTCCCCTGCAGCCCCTTCAGGCACTGGGGCTCCTCTCAGCTCTCCCCTTCAGGAGCCTTCTCTTCCCCGGGCTGCCCCAGCCCAGCTCTCTCAGCCTGGCTCCAGGGCAGCGCTGCTCCAGCAGCTCCACATCCCTCTTGTGCTGCTGCTCATTGACTGCAGGGGGCTCTCCCCAGGGCACAGCAGAGGGGGCCAATCCCACCCGGCCTCCCCCTCCTCTCTCTCCTCTTTCCCCGCTCTCATCACCCCACTTCCATCTCGGGTAACACTGGGGGTGTTCAGGGCTGATCCCTCCCTGGGGGGAGACGGGGGCTGGACCCCAGACCCTCTCCTCTCCTTCTTCATCCCAAAGAGCACACATTCCCTAGCACCAGGATGACTTCCCTTGCCCTAAACCGTTCAATTTCCTTCCCCTTCACCGTGGTTGAGCACTTGAGGTCAGTGTTAACCTCCCCCAGGCCCTGCTCCTCCCTGGTTCTCTGCAGGGTGCCCCTCTGTGGGTGGCACCACATGGTCTCTGATGGCATTAAAACCCACGTGAACCCCGCTGCCCCCAAAGCCCTTTCGATTAAGCTGATCTTAAGCAGACTGAGGTACGGATTCAGGGCCTTGTATTGCCCATTGGTGCTGGACAAATCTCTGTGCTTGTCCCCATGGGCGCGATGGGGCAGGCGGCTGCTGGTGCTGCGTGGGGCAGGAAGGAGCCGTGTCCTGGCACCGATGGGTGTTGTGCCAAAGGGCGGTTCAGCTCCTCACGTAGCACCCGTTGACTCCAGGAAGTGGCTCCCTTTGGGCCGGGGGAGTAAATCCATGCTCCATAGAATTCTGCTGTGGGTGACGCCATCTGTGTCCTTCCAGGGGCAGAGGGGGGCTGAGTGCTTCCCGCTGCTGTGCTGCCCGGGCTCCTGGAATCAACGAGGGAAAGCCCTTTAAGCTCACCCAGTCCAACCCATCCCAGCCCTGCCAAGGCCACCCCTGCCCCATGGCACTGAGGGGGTGTGAGCACTCGCAGGGCCGGTGCCTGCAGCCCTGCCCCGGGCAGCCTCTTCCAATGCCTGAGCACCCTCTGGGGCAGGAATTGTTCCTCAGCTCCATCTAACCCTGCCCTGGGGCAGCTTGAGGCCGGTTCCTCTCGTCCCATCCCTTGTTCCTTGGGAGCAGAGCCCAGCCCCTCCTGGCTCCATCCTCCTGGCAGGCACTTGGAGGGAGCCATCAGGTCCCCCCTGAGCCTTCCCTTCCCCATCTGAACCCCCCAGGTCCCTCAGCCCTTCCCCATCACCCCTGTGCTCCAGGCCCTGCTCCAGCTCCATTCCCTTCTCCGGCCCCACTCCAGCACCTCAAGGTCTCTCTTGCAGTGAGGGGCCCGGCGCTGCTGTGCTCAGAGCCCGTTCTCCCTCCCTGGGAGCGAATGAACCAAACCTGGGTGCTTTAAGGAGCTGACAGCAGCTGGGGGCCCACGAGGAAGCGCTGGGGCATGGCAGGAACTTGGTGTTCCTGCACCCGGGGCTCTTCTTTCCCGCTTGGAACGCTCCCGATACCTGCGGCCGGCTGGGGGTTGCGGGGAGATCTTTGGCACCACTTCCCTCTTTCCAGCCTGTTTACAGCTTCTCCTGTTACACTCAGAGGGGCCCCAGCTGGGGAGGGAGCAGGGGCCGCGGGCTGGGCCCGTCCCATCCAGCGGTCGCTCTGTGCCTGTCCCCAGGTGGGAATGGGAGAGGCAAGAAGAGGAGTGGAAGCAGTTACCTGTCCTGCGGGAAGGGGCTGGGAAGCAGCCGTAGAGCCATGGAATGGCTTGGGTTGGAAGGGACCTTAAAGCTCCATCCCCTGCACGGGCAGGGACCCCTTCCACCGGAGCAGTGTCCAGCCTGGCCCTGAGCACTGCCAGGGATGGGGTCCTGGGGAGCTTCTCCTCCCCCAGCCCCCCAGGTCCTGCTCCTCAGGCTCCAGCCCCTCTCCTCCAGCCTGGGTCTGGGCTGGGGTTGCCTCAAACCAGGGCCGGGACCTTGCCCTTGGCCTGGCTGAGCCCCAGGACGTTCCCACTTCTCCAGCCTGTGCAGTCCCTCCCATCCCAGCCCTGCACCAGCAGCTCGGGGCCAGCACTGCCTCACCGAGGGGGCTCAGTCCCACTGCCCTGGAGCCCCCAGAGACGTTGAACAGGGCCATTCCCAGCCCAGCACTTGCCACTGCTCTCCACTTGCACATTGAGCTCTTGAGCGCAGCTCCCTGCGTGTGAGCTTCCAGCCCATCCCTCGTGTCCACGCTTCCCGGTTAAGGACGAGGATGTCCCGTGGAGCAGCGTGCAGTGGTGCTGGTCCTGCCCTTGGCTCCAGTGTCCCACGGCAGTGGGGCTCCCCGGGGGCCGCCCCTTGGGGTCGGTGGCACGCGGCAGCGAGGGGGCAGCTCCCGGGATCCCCCTTCCTGGGCTCTGAGGGCTCTTCCCCTGCAGGATCCGGACTCGCAGCAGCGTTACCGGGGGTCGCTGGGAACGTCGGGACAATGAAGCTGTTGGAGAACTCCAGTTTCGAAGCAATAAACTCCCAACTGACCGTGGAGACGGGCGACGCGCACATCATCGGCCGGTGGGTGCCCCTGCCTGGTACCCAGTGGGACCAGGGGTGGGATCCCATCTGCCCGGACCCTGCGTGGCTGCAGTCCCATCCAGCCCTGTGCAGCAGCACTGGGGAACCTGTGAGGGACGCACAGGGGTGCCTCTCATCCGTGGCCCTGGAATTGCCACTCAGCTCAGCCCAACCTCCTCAGGGCGCCCATCGGCAGCTCCGCACCCTCACATGGGGGTTGTGGCCGTGGGCTCAGACCCAGCAGCACGTGGGAGGTGGCTCCTGGGGCCTGGAGATGCTCTGTGCGTGCTGGTGGCCTCATCCAAGCCCTGGTGGCCGTGGTGCTGCTTGGCTGGGACCTTCTGGTGCCGTGCTGGGGGGCTCATGCCGCTCGGTGCCTCTGCAGGATCGAGAGCTACTCGTGCAAGATGGCTGGCGATGACAAGCACATGTTCAAGCAGTTCTGCCAGGAGGGCCAGCCGCACGTCCTGGAGGCCCTGTCACCTCCCCAGACCACGGGCATCAGCCCCAGCAGGTACCACGGGGATGCAGGACAGGGGCAGCGGCGAGTCTGTGGTGGGAGGGTGGGATTCACCGAGGGAATGACCCTGGTGTCGCTCCTGGGCTGTCAGCTCTGCTTGTTCTGGACATCATGGAGTGGTTGAGGTGGGAAAAAGTCTAAGAGCATCGAGAAATCTGGTGAGACAGTGGCACAGGGTGCCCAGAGAGGCTGTGGCTGCCCCATCCCTGGCAGTGCTCAAGGCCAGGTTGGACACAGGGGCTTGGAGCAAGCTGCTCCGGTGGAAGGGGTCCCTGTCCTGGCAGGGGTTGGAGCTGGAGGAGCTTTAAGGTCCCTTCAGCCCAGCCCATTCCGTGATTCTAAATCCAGCTCTTCCCCAGCCCTGCCAAGGCCACCCCTGCCCCACGTCCCCGAGTGCCCCATCTGCACATCCTTTGGGTACCTCCAGGGCCGGTGCCTGCAGCCCTGCCCCGGGCAGCCTCTTCCAATGCCTGAGCACCCTCTGGGGCAGGAATTGTTCCTCAGCTCCACCTAACCCTGCCCTGGGGCAGCTTGAGGCCGGTTCCTCTTGTCCCATCCCTTGTTCCTTGGGAGCAGAGCCCAGCCCCTCCTGGCTCCATCCTCCTGGCAGGCACTTGGAGGGAGCCATCAGGTCCCCCCTGAGCCTTCCCTTCCCCATCTGAACCCCCCAGGTCCCTCAGCCCTTCCCCATCACCCCTGTGCTCCAGGCCCTGCTCCAGCTCCATTCCCTTCTCCGGCCCCACTCCAGCCCCTCAAGGTCTCTCTTGCAGTGAGGGGCCCGGAGCCGAGCACAGGATCCCAGGTGCAGCCTCCCTGGTGCCCGGTGCAGGGGCTCAACCCCTGCGCTGGCCCCGCTGCCGCCCTGGTGCTGCTCCAGCCGTGGTGCCGGTGCCTGTGTGGGCAGGGGCTGCTCCCACGGGGCCAGCTCAGACCCTGTTGTGCCCCCCAGGCTCAGCAAAAGCCAGAGCGGGGACGAGGAGGGGCCCCTCAGTGACAAGTGCAGCCGCAAGACCCTGTTCTACCTGATCGCGACGCTCAACGAGTCCTTCCGGCCCGACTACGACTTCAGCGCCGCCAAGAGCCACGAGTTCAGCCGGGAGCCCAGCCTCAACTGGGTGAGCACAGCACCTGTGGGCACAGCACCCGTGGGCATGGCACCCGTGGGCATGGCACCCGTGGGCACGGCACCCGTGGGCACGGCACCCGTGGGCATGGCACCCAGGGACACGGCACCCCTGGGCACGGCACCCGTGGGCATGGCACCCAGGGACACGGCACCCCCAGCACCCATGGGCACGGCACCCGTGGGCACAGCACCCATGGGCACGGCACCCGTGGGCACGGCACCCATGGGCACAGCACCCGTGGGCATGGCACCCATGGGCACGGCACCCGTGGGCATGGCACCCAGGGACACGGCACCCGTGGGCACGGCACCCGTGGGCACAGCACCTGTGGGCACGGCACCCGTGGGCACGGCACCCATGGGCATGGCACCCCCAGCACCCATGGGCACGGCACCCATGGGCATGGCACCCGTGGGCACAGAACCCATGGGCATGGCACCCGTGGGCACGGCACCCGTGTGCATGGCACCCGTGGGCACAGCACCCGTGGGCACGGCACCCTCAGCACCCATGGGCACAGCACCCGTGGGCACAGCACCCAGAGACACAGCACCCCCCAGCACCCATAGCCATAGGACCCAGAGGCACAGCACCCAGAGGCACAACACCCCCCTGCACCCAGAGATACAGCACCCATAGACACAGCACCCCCAGCACCCAGAGACACAGCACCCAGAGACACAGCAGCCCCCAGCACCTATAGACACAACACCCAGAGACACAGCACCCATAGACACAGGAGCCCCCAGCATCCAAAGATACAGAACGCAGAGACACAGCAGCCCCCAGCACCTATAGACACAACACCCAGAGACACAGCACCCATAGACACAGGAGCCCCCAGCACCCAAAGATACAGCACGCAGAGACACAGCAGCCCCCAGCACCCAGAGACACAGCACCCAGAGACACAGAACCCCCAGCACCCATAGACACAGCACCCAGAGACACAGAACCCCCAGCACCCAGAGACACAGCACCCAGAGACACAGCACCCCCAGCACCCATAGACATAGCGCTCATAGGCACAGTACTCACCCCAGAACCCAGAGACACAGCAGACATAGACACAGCACCTACCCTAGCACCCAGAGACGCAGCACCCATAGACACAGCACCTACCCCAGCACCCATAGACACAGCACCCATAGACACAGCACCTACCCCAGCACCCAGAGACACAGCACCCACCCCAGCACCCGTAGACACAGCACCCATAGACACAGCACCTACCCCAGCACCCAGAGACACAGCACCTACCCAGCACCTACCCCAGCACCTATAGACACAGCACCCATAGACGCAGCACCTACCCCAGCACCCATAGACGCAGCACCCATAGACGCAGCACCTACCCCAGCACCCATAGACACAGCACCCATAGACACAGCACCTACACCAGCACCCATAGACACAGCACCCATAGACGCAGCACCTACCCCAGCACCCATAGACACAGCACCCATAGACACAGCACCTACCCCAGCACCCAGAGACACAGCACCTACCCCAGCACCTACCCCAGCACCTATAGACACAGCACCCATAGACGCAGCACCTACCCCAGCACCCATAGACACAGCACCCATAGACGCAGCACCTACCCCAGCACCCAGAGACACAGCACCCATAGACACAGCACCCATAGACGCAGCACCTACCCCAGCACCCATAGACACAGCACCCATAGACACAGCACCTACCCCAACACCCATAGACACAGCACCCATAGACACAGCACCCCCCGGCACCCATAGACACAGCACCTACCCCAGCACCCATAGACACAGCACCCATAGACACAGCACCCATAGACACAGGAGCCCCCAGCACCCAAAGATACAGCACGCAGAGACACAGCAGCCCCCAGCACCCAGAGACACAGCACCCAGAGACACAGAACCCCCAGCACCCATAGACACAGCACCCAGAGACACAGAACCCCCAGCACCCAGAGACACAGCACCCAGAGACACAGCACCCCCAGCACCCATAGACATAGCGCTCATAGGCACAGTACTCACCCCAGAACCCAGAGACACAGCAGACATAGACACAGCACCTACCCTAGCACCCAGAGACGCAGCACCCATAGACACAGCACCTACTCTAGCACCCAGAGACGCAGCACCCATAGACACAGCACCTACCCCAGCACCCATAGACACAGCACCCATAGACACAGCACCTACCCCAGCACCCAGAGACACAGCACCCACCCCAGCACCCGTAGACACAGCACCCATAGACACAGCACCTACCCCAGCACCCAGAGACACAGCACCTACCCAGCACCTACCCCAGCACCTATAGACACAGCACCCATAGACGCAGCACCTACCCCAGCACCCATAGACACAGCACCCATAGACGCAGCACCTACCCCAGCACCCAGAGACACAGCACCCATAGACACAGCACCCATAGACGCAGCACCTACCCCAGCACCCATAGACACAGCACCCATAGACACAGCACCTACCCCAACACCTATAGACACAGCACCCATAGACGCAGCACCTACCCCAGCACCCATAGACACAGCACCCATAGACACAGCACCTACCCCAGCACCCAGAGACACAGCACCTACCCAGCACCTACCCCAGCACCTATAGACACAGCACCCATAGACACAGCACCTACCCCAGCACCCATAGACACAGCACCCAGAGACACAGCACCCATAGACGCAGCACCTACCCAGCACCCACACCCCCGCACCCATGGACACTGCACACACCGCAGCACCCCACTCCCCGGCACCTTGGCACTCGCACTCCCAGCACCCACAGCCAGCACCCTGAGGAGGAGCCGCATGGATCTGCTGGGGCCGTGCCCCACAGCGCTGCTGTGATCCCGGGACTGCTGCGCTCCCTCCTCCGGCAGCATCAGGCCTGGGATGAGGCCGTTCCCATGGAACGGGTCGGGATGAAGGGACCTCAAAGCTCCTCCAGTCCAACCCCTGCCAGGGCAGGGACCCCTTCCCCTGGAGCAGGGTGCTCCGAGCCCCTGTGTCCAAGCTGCCCTCGAGCACTGCCAGGGATGGAGCATCCCAAACCTCTCCCTTCAACCCCTTCCATGGGGAAGAACTCCCCAAGCTCCCATCAACTCTTCCCTCTTCCTCCTCCTCCCATCCCTGCCTCCCTTGTCCCAACCCCTCTCCAGGTCCCCGCAGCCCCTTCAGGCACTGGAGCTGCTCTCAGCCCTCCCCTTGAGGACCCCTCTCCTCTCCAGGCTGCCCCAGCCCAGCCCTCAGCCAGAACAGACCCGTTCCATCCCTGGGACCATTTCCAGGTCCCTGCTCCAGCAGCCTCATGTTTCCCCTCAGTCTCCCCTCGGGCAGGTTCAAGCCGTTCCCCTCCAGGCCCTTGTCCCGGGCTCTCCTCCCTCCCGGGGGATGCTCCCGCAGCCATTCCCTGCTCTTCTCCATTGGCAGCGGCCCCCTTGCTCTTCGCTCTCCTTCAGGGAGAAGCAGGGGCAGGGGCTGGGGCTGGGGCTGCTCTTCCCCAGGGAGGCTGCTGGGGGGCAGAAGGCTGAGGGCTCGGTGGTGCCTCAAATCCTCCCTGGGGCTGCCGGTGCCTTCATCCCTGCGCTCACAGCCCCCGTGGCTGGAGGCTTCTTGCCTGCCCACTGCCCCCCAGGCACTGCCCTGCCCCGGGATGGGGAGGCTGAGCCCCACGGAGCAGGATGGGGGGGGGGGAGGAAGCAGCAGCTCCTCTGAGGAGCCCTCCTGGCCCCTGCAGGTGGTGAACGCCGTGAACTGCAGCCTCTTCTCGGCCGTGCGGGAGGACTTCAACGCGCTGAAGCCTCACCTCTGGGATGCTGTGGACGAGGAGATCTGCCTGGCCGAGTGTGACATCTACAGGTAACGGGGCCCCCGCCGTCCCCGGACCCCCCACACCACGGTGGGCTCTTGTCCTCCCCCCTAACCCAGCGTGGGGGCACGGGGCCACCGGCAGCTGAGCAGCCCATGGAGGTGGCTCCAGGCTGCCCCCATCTCCTCCCTTCCCTGCTCGGGGCTGGCGCCGGGAGCAGGAGCCAACGTGGTGTTTCTTGTGGCAGCTACAACCCCGACCTGGACTCGGACCCCTTTGGGGAGGACGGCAGCCTCTGGTCCTTCAACTACTTCTTCTACAACAAGAGGCTGAAGAGGATCGTGTTCTTCACGTGCCGCTCCATCAGGTCAGGCCAGGCCGCGGCTCTGAAGTCAGCCCAGGAATGAATCCCCATTCTCTTTGCGGGTCCTGGCCCTGCTGGTCCCAGGCCGGGTGCAGTGGAAACATCCTAGAATGAGCTGGGTTGGACAAGACCTTCGGGACCATCGAGTCCTCAGGAGCTGCTGAACCTCATCCTGCTCTTTATTCATCCACTCACGGCATGGCTTGGGGTGGGAGGGACCTTAAAGCTCCTCCAGCTCCAACCCCATCCCCTTCCCCTGGAGCAGGGTGCTCCGAGCCCCTGTGTCCAAGCTGCCCTTGAGCACTGCCAGGGATGGAGCATCCCAAACCTCTCCCTTCAACCCCTTCCATGGGGAAGAACTCCCCAAGCTCCCATCAACTCTTCCCTCTTCCTCCTCCTCCCATCCCTGCCTCCCTTGTCCCAAGGCTCCCTGCAGCCCCTTCAGGCCCTGGAGCTGCTCTGAGCTCTCCTTTCCCCCTCCAGTGGGTACACGTACACGCGCTCGGAAGCTGGCAACGAGCTGGACATGGATCTTGGTGAAGGGGATGCGGAGGAGAGCAGGGACACGGGCGACGCCGAGAGCAGCAGCATCGAGGAGGAGAGGTGGGTGAGCTCCGTGGGTCAGACCCTGTGGGTCAGACCCTGTGGGTGAGCTCCGTGGGTCAGACCCTGTGGGTGAGCTCCGTGGGTCAGACCCTGTGGGTCAGACCCTGTGGGTGAGCTCCGTGGGTCAGACCCCGTGGGTGAGCTCTGTGGGTCAGACCCCATGGGTGAGCTCTGTGGGTCAGACCCCTTGACTGAGCTCCGTGGGTCAGACCCCGTGGCTGAGCTCTGTGGGTCAGACCCCGTGGGTGAGCTCTGTGGGTCAGACCCTGTGGGTGAGCTCCGTGGGTCAGACCCCATGGCTGAGCTCTGTGGGTCAGACCCCATGGGTGAGCTCCGTGGGTCAGACCCCGTGGGTGAGCTCTGTGGGTCAGACCCTGTGGGTGAGCTCCGTGGGTCAGACCCCGTGGCTGAGCTCCATGGGTCAGACCCAGTGGCTGAGCTCCGTGGGTCAGACCCAGTGGCTGAGCTCCGTGGCTGAGCTCCGTGGGTCAGACCCCGTGGGTGAGCTCCGTGGGTCAGACCCCGTGGCTGAGCTCCGTGGGTCAGACCCCGTGGGTGAGCTCCGTGGGTCAGACCCTGTGGGTGAGCTCCGTGGGTCAGACCCCATGGCTGAGCTCTGTGGGTCAGACCCCATGGGTGAGCTCCGTGGGTCAGACCCCGTGGGTGAGCTCTGTGGGTCAGACCCTGTGGGTGAGCTCCGTGGGTCAGACCCCGTGGCTGAGCTCCATGGGTCAGACCCAGTGGCTGAGCTCCGTGGGTCAGACCCAGTGGCTGAGCTCCGTGGCTGAGCTCCGTGGGTCAGACCCCGTGGGTGAGCTCCGTGGGTCAGACCCCGTGGCTGAGCTCCGTGGGTCAGACCCCGTGGGTGAGCTCCGTGGGTCAGACCCTGTGGGTGAGCTCCGTGGGTCAGACCCCATGGCTGAGCTCCGTGGGACAGACCCCGTGGCTGAGCTCTGTGGGTCAGACCTGCCTGTACAGGGCTTGTGTTGGGAGGGCCCCCCAAGACCCCGCATCCCCGTCACCGGCGCTCGGTTCCAGGTTGCAGGTGCTGTGCATGTGAGGCCCGGAGCAGCTCCGAGGCGCCGCAGCCGCGCTGGACCCCGTCCTCTGCCTGCCCCCCGGAGGAGCCAGCCCCACGCTGCCCCATGCCCTGCCCAGCACCACGTACACTGGAGCCCCCCGAAGCTTTGCTGCACTTTATGCTCCTCTCCTCGCCTGCACTGACCCGCAGAGTGCCCGCGGGGCTGGCGCCGGGCAGGATGGGGCCCACAGCACTTGGCCCGCACTGGTTTGACGCCGTCCGTCCATGGCACCGGCTCCGGTGGCCGCGGTGGGACCCCCCCCTGCCGATGAACTCCACAAACTGTGCTTGGAGAAGGTCCGTGCTTGTTTCAAGGGGCTGCTTCGCCCCTGCCGCCGCGTCCCGGGGCTGCCGGTGCCCTTGGTGAGTCCCTGCTGGACCTGGTGCCGCAGCAGCACCCCCTGCCCCACCTCCCGTGGGGCCTGGGGGGGGGTTAAACCCAACCTGACTTTGGGTGACGGGGCCGGTGCCAGGTTTGGGTGGGGGTGAGCAGGGCGCTGGGTGCTGCTGCTCCCACCCTGCTTCGCTTCGGCGGCGGCTGCCCCATCCCTCCGTCCCCATCACCCCACTGTGGATGAGAGCAGAGGCTGGGGGGGCAAATCCCCCCCCCCCCCCCCCCCAATCTGTGTTTTGGCTGGGACAGGGCAGGGGGAACTGAGCCGGGTTTACTTGAGCTCAGGTTCATGGAGCTGAGTTGGGTTTAATGGAGCTGAGCTGGGTTTAATGGAGCTGAGCTGGGTTTAATGGAGCTGAGTTGGGTTTAATGGGGCTGAGTTGGGTTTAATGGAGCTGAGTTGGGTTTAATGGAGCTGAGTTGGGTTTAATGGAGCTGAGTTGGGTTGGGTTGAGCTGAGTTGGGTTTAATGGAGCTGAGCTGGGTTTAATGGAGCTGAGCTGGGTTTAATGGAGCTGAGCTGGGTTTAATGGAGCTGAGTTGGGTTTAATGGAGCTGAGCTGGGTTTAATGGAGCTGAGTTGGGTTTAATGGAGCTGAGCTGGGTTTAATGGAGCTGAGTTGGGTTTAATGGAGCTGAGTTGGGTTTAATGGAGCTGAGTTGGGTTTAACTGAGCTGAGTTGGGTTGGGTTGAGCTGAGTTGGGTTGGGTTGAGCTGAGTTGGGTTTAACTGAGCTGAGTTGGGTTTAACTGAGCTGAGTTGGGTTTAATTGAGCTGCGTTGGGTTTAACTGAGCTGAGTTGGGCCCCTTGAGTTGAACTGAGCCGAGTTGGGTTGAGCTGAGTTGGGTTGAGTTGAGTTGGGTTGAGTTGAGTTGACCTGAGCCCAGCTGAGCTTGAGCTGAGTTGGGTTGGGTTGAGCTGGGTTGAAGCTGAGCTGAGCTGGGTTGAAGCTGAGCACGCACAAAGAGGGGCAGCAGCTGCCTCAGCATTCTCACTGCACCCTCTGCCCCCCAAGGGGAGCTGCTTTGGGGCAGCGCCAGCCCCACGGGCCCTCACCACCCCCCCCAACCCCCCCGGGGCAGCCTCCACAGCCCCTGCCCCATGGCTGAGGGTTCGGGCAGGGTCTCTCTTTCAGAAGAGGCTCTTCGGGGGCACTGGGGAGCCCCAAGGACGCTGGGGTTTTGTTCCCCTCGTCCCTGGGCTTGATGCAGGGTGAGAGGCTCCAGGGGATGCTGCAGGCGCGGATCCAGCCTCCGGCCGGGGCTTTGGGTGCAGGGGGAAGAGGGAGACCCCAGGCAGACAGAGATAGACCCCAGAGCCCCCGCTCCAGCCCCGGGTACCGGGAGCTCCATCGGGGGACTCCGCAGCCTCATCCCCACTGACCCAGAGCTTGGTCTGAACCTGGAGCTTGTGCCCTCTGCTCCTGGGGCTGGAGCCGCTGCTGCCCTCATTGGGGATTGCCTTCAGCACCCCGCCCCCCCCCTTCAGCACCCATGGGTGCTCCCGGCAGGATTCAGCTCCATCCCATCCCTGCATCCCTGCTCGCGCTGCCGTGGCTGCCTCCCTGCGCCCCGCCGGGGAGGGGACCGCGCGGCGCCGCAACGCACCGGCACCAATAAAGGTTTCCTTGTGATCCCCCCCCGGCCTCGGGCAGTGGCGTGGGGGGGGCACGAGGTGGGGCTCAGGCAGAGCCCATCCATTGGGATTTGGAGCCACCTCATCCGGGGCCTTCACGGGGTCATTCCCGCCCCATGGCCCCTCCAGTTACGGCTTCACCTTCCCGTTTATGGCTTTATCCTCTCTGGAATGGGATTTCATTGTGGAATCCCAGCCTGGTTTGGGATGAAGGGAGCTTAAAGCTCCTCCAGCTCCAACCACAGGCAGGGCAGGGACCCCTTCCCCTGGAGCAGGGTGCTCCGAGCCCCTGGGTCCAAGCTGGCCGCCACAGCTTCTCTGGCTGGAAGAGCTTCTGGCTCCCAGCCCTTCCCTCGGGTGTCACTGCTCCAGCAGCTCGGTGCCAAGCACAGACGCAGGGTCCTTGATCCCACTGCCCTGGCACCCACAGAGAGCCTGAGCATCCTCCTGTTGGAGTCCTCGTTGTAGTCACCGTTAAGTAACTCTCTGCTTGTCGACGTGGGTGAAGGTCACGCATCCAACCCCGTCCTGCGCGTGACTTTCCTCAACGGTGCCATGATTCCATCATTGGGGAATGGTGGAATCGTTCCCAGACCGCTCCTCGGAGGTTTCCTCTCCATTTACGTTTGGGATTCTTTGGAAAGGGTTCACAGCTGTCTGCTTAAAATGGTCCTGTACTTCATCACAGTGCTGAGGAGGAGGCTGAGCAGCAGCTGAGGCCGGGACAGCCTTGGGCACTCGTGCCCATCCTGGCAGCGATGTCAGTGCCAGATCTGGCAGGTTTAATCCCGAGGTTTCCATGTGTGCCGCATCCAGGGCTGTTTCCCCATGGAGAGGTTTCTCCTCACCCGCAGCATGTGGAGGGAGCACTGCTCCGAGCGTTGCTTCCCAAGCCTGCCCATCCCTTTGGGCTCTGTGTCCTAGCACACAACCTCAGCGCAGCATAAACCCATTCCCAAGCAGCCACCAGCAGCCTGGGATCTGCCGGGCCCCTGAGATTCCCGGGATTCAATCACAGCACCTGGAATTTGCATCGGGATGCAGGAACTCGATCCAGCCCCTCCTCAGCAGAGGCCAGGCACCTCCGGCTGCTGCTGCTTCCCTGCTCCCAGGAGAAGTCTCCTTATCCCTTGGAATGGAGATTGGATCCCTTGGAATGGATCCCTTGGAATCCCCGCGGCTCTGGCTGGGATCATGGCAGTGGGAGCCGAGCCAGCGCCTCTGCCCCAGTGAAGGGAATAGACCCTGCTCCCAGGGCCGCTGGTGGTGGCTCTTGGAGGCACAGGGACGTGTGGGGGTGTTCCGGGTGTCATCGCGGCTCCAGCCAGGATCAAGTTGGGAATTGCCAAGGTTCCGGCTGGGATCGAGCTGGGACTTACCCTGGGCGCAGCCGGGATCAAACCGGGGATCACTGGAGTTTGGCATCACTGTGGGACCGGCCAGGATGGAGTTGGGAATTGCCATGGATCAGCCAGGACTTGGAGGTGCCACCCGGGATGCAGCGGGGGACGTGCTGGGTGAAGGAGGTGGCACCATGGCAGGGTCCAAACCGTGCCCTGCAGGCACCAGCACCGGCGATGGTCCCAATCCTGGCACTGGTACCGGCACTGCCACGGCACCGGCCCTGGCACCGGGACCCTACCGGCTCCTCACGGGGGCTTGGCTATCCCAAAGCCCCCATGGCAGGACACACGGCCCAGCAGGTTCCGGGTGCTCGCCGGTGCTGTGCGGGAGCTGGGGCTGCTCCGGCCTTCATCCCGCCGAGGAAGAGCTGGGTGCGGACCTGCCGCTCCCTGCCGCCCGCCCACCCGCGCTAGGACCCGGCGGCGCGGCCGAGCGATGGGCGTGGCCTGGGGGAGTGGCCTCGCGTGCCTCCCTTCCCAGAGTCCCGTTCTCCGCTTGCCCCTCCCCTTTGCCCACTCTCCCGTACCCCATTGGCCCGTCCTCCCCCGCGGGCCCTCCCTCTTAGCGCTCATTGGCTGCCGCTCCCGTTGCCAGGAGACGCCCCCCCCTCCGGTCCCCGTTCCAAGATGGCGGCCGCGGAGGAGGCGGAGGCGGCCGCGGCGCTGGCGGCGCTGCTGGGCCCGGCCGCGGGTGCTGCGGCCCGGGCGGGGGCGGCCGAGGCGGCGCTGGCGCTGTCGGGCTCCGCGGCGGGGCGGCGGCTGCTGGCGGGGCAGCCCCGGCTGCTGGAGGCGCTGCTGGCGCTGGCGGCGGGGCCCGGCGCGGAGCCCGCCCGCTCGGCGCGGCGCTGCCTGCTCAACGTGTCCGCCGAGGCGGCGGCCCGCGGGGCGCTGCTGCCGGCGCTGCCCGCGCTGGTGCCGCTGGTGCCGGCCGGGCCGGTCTGCGGGCTCCTGGCCAACCTGAGCCGGGAGCGCGGCGGGGCGCGGGCCGTGCTGCGGGCGCTCGGCTCCCGCTGGGACGCGCTGCTGGAGGCGCTGGCGCAGCCGCGGCCGCCGCCGGAGCTGGGGCCGCTGCTCTGCAACCTCAGCCAGGTCCCCGAGGGGCGCCGCCGGCTCCTGGACCGCTCCCGGTAGGGCCGCGGGCGGGCAGGGCTGGGGGGGGGACCCGGGGTGGTGTCCGCGGCCCGCTCTGACCGGCCCGGCCCGGCCCGCAGGTGCGCGGTGCAGCGGCTCCTGCCCTTCACGCAGTACCCGCACTCCGCCGAGCACCGCCGCGGCATCGTGGGCGCGCTCCGCAACTGCTGCTTCGAGCACGGTGAGAGCCGGAACCGAGGAGCACGGGGCGGCTGCCGGGCCCTGCCCTCCCCTCAACGTGCTGCCGGGCCCCCCTGCCCTCCCCTCCGGGTGCTGCCGGCTCCCCCTGCCCTCACCTCGGGGTGCTCCCGGCCCCCCTGCCCTCCCCTCCGGGTGCTGCCGGGCCCTGCCCTCCCCTCCGGGTGCTGCCGGCTCCCCCTGCCCTCCCCTCCGGGTGCTGCCGGGCCCCCCTGCCCTCACCTCGGGGTGCTCCCGGGCTCTCTCATCCTCACCTGGGATCCCTGCCCTCCCCCAGGGCCTCCTGCCCTTATTCTGGAGCCCTGCTGGGGTCCCTGCCCTCACC